CCAGAAAAAGCAGACGTCATTCGCCGCGGTGTATAGGATCGCCTTCCACCGCGGGGCACGCTTCCTCGTGATGGTAACGCCCGTCGTTGGTCATCATCCCAGGGAGCATAAAGACGGCGAATGTGGAAACTGGCTTCAAGCGCACTTTTAGAATCAACAGTAAGATCCAACGGTGAAGGCGTTTCCTCCATTTCTCTCATTGCTCCCGTAAATTCTGCAGCCAAATGACGCAGTACGTTGTGTTGCATCACCCCCGTCTTTACTCGGAGCAGAGCATCCGAAAACTCCTCCTTGACATTATTTAAAAATGCACCATCTCTCATCCCTTTGGAGGGAGTGCCATGCCCACCGGGAAGTTCCACGCCCCTCGCCTGCTCGCTGGCGGTGGAAGAAAGTACCAACCCAGCCAGTCTTGCAGATGGAGTGGAAGAGGAGCCCCATATAATATGGGTCATGCGAATTGCTAAGGAAAGGTGCAACAGCGAGCATGAAGCGGACTCTTCCTCCACAGGCCATCGCCGTTTTTCGATCTTGGCAAATTTGCTCTCAGCCTCCGCCGGAGATAATGGAGGGGCATTGATAAAAAATGGAGCATCTGTAAATTGCCCAAGACGAACATTCTCATCTTCCCGTAGCAAATTACAGTAAAGAAGAAAGTGTTTTGCGAGAGTATTGCCCTGCTCAGGCTTCTGCAATAATTGATGAAAGACGTGTAAGACGGCCCTTCGAATGATTGGAAAGGGGACAAGCATATCAATCTCATCACTATTTCTCACACCATAACCATCATCCACTGGAATAACAAAATTCAGAATGGTATTCATCCATGCTTCTTGATGCTCCATGTATGCATCTAATGTTAGCTGAAGATACTCATCATGAAAATGCGAGGGTAAACCGTAACGGGAATCCACATCAAATAAATCCGTGAAGCGCACAAGTGTCGATGGTTGATCCATCGAAATGGCAAATCGCAAACGTCGCATCTGTGTCTCTGTAGGCGGAAGCCAGCCAACCTTTGTGAGATGTTCCAGCGAATTTAAAATACCATCCACGGTAGAACTGTCTCCAGTTCGTGTTAAAGTCTCTACGAGCGAAAAACGTGCCGCACCACAGCAGGAAACGGCATACGTCGCAAAACAGTGTTTGTACATTAATTCTAAAACCTCATCTAGAGGAAGGAGTCCACGTGAGGCTGAAAATGATGTCGTTTCTTTATTGAAAGACTGCCGCTTAATTCTTTGCTTTTTGGATATATCTGGGCCCTGATTCGCTTTAAATGCCTCCAAAAAGGAAGCATGTGGTCCTAAAACAGCTCCGATTCTTTCATCAAGAGTTCTCCACGCCGTCGGAATTTCTTTCTTCTCCGCGGATTTGTCTTTAGCTACATCCTTGAATGGAGTGTCTCCCTTTTCAGGTTTCTCCGGTACTGCAGAGGATACGGCGCTCTCTTCCTTGAAACGAAACAAATACTCATGAATGTTGTGTTTGAGTGTATAAAAGTCGGACCTTGCAGACTCAGCAGCCCGGTCATGTGAAGATGTTTTTTCAGAACTGCTGACGTTGCTCCCTGGCAGGATGAGACCATATCCCTCCCCATCACTGTCAGGCTCAATACTAGTACTCTGTTCCACCAACGGGGCGGTGTCAATGACTTCCACTGCCCTTTTTAGAGCATTGAAAGGGGTGTCATGAATCAACTCCTCTTGAGGTGTCTTCTTGCAGAACGCTGTGTCAGAATCATGCATTTTACTCAAACTAGATCGAAACGACGAGCTTGGACCAATATGATGACAGAGAAGCTCCTCACAATCTTTGCGCAAAGCCTCTAGGCTGGCCCAGAAATTAATCGCTACCAATTCTGGAACCTGCTGATGGGCAATAAGATAAAATAGTCGAAAGTCAGCGTCCACCTCCTTGTATTCCTCAGCATAATAGTATAATGAAAATAGTAACTCACGGGCCTGTGATGAGAGTACCACGTGTACTTCTTTACCATCTTTCATGATATAAAAAATAGTAGAAAAGAGCATTCGTACACTATCAACGGCTTTCTCGTTTTTACCAACCACACCTCGCACCACGAGTCTCTTGGTTTCCTCCTCAGCATTTTCCTCTGCCACCTTCGTGTTGAGAGGAAAGGTACGCTGCACAAAATCGACCAGTGCAGCCAAGAAGGTTGATGGATAAATGGGTCTATCTGTAACGTCTCCCTCACCCTTTGCTTCTCCTTGCAATTGACCCGAATTGGGCTCCCTACGTGATGATTTGAAGACCCTCACACGCCTTTCCATTTCTTTTTTATACTGAAGTAACCGCTCACTCCAAAAACAGTATATTATTAAACGAATGGTTGCCTGATCGTATTGTGCGCTGTTGGGTATATCTTCTTCTATGGGTACATTGCCCGTCAATGCGGTGCTTGGCTGCGGAAGAAGAACAGATGCCAATGAAAGAACTGGAAAGCTACGATACAAACCTTCCCAAGATGTCATTACGTTCTCTGTATTAATACCCTCACCATTTCCACCGACAGAAGGAGGAGTGTAATCAATGATATAATTTCCACGCCAGCGTGGAATAGAAACCCCCCATGCCATTTCTGTCATTCCCTCCGTATTTCCAAGTTTCCTCTGGGTGTAATCCGTTACAAGTTTCAAAACAAGATTCGGACTGTACATATCACAAAATCTGCCACCAAATGGTGTGCGACGGAAGAAAAGAGGTCCAGGGTTAGCCGGGAAGGGTTCTTCCATCTGGGCATATCCCATAGAACGTCGCTGTAGACGCACAAAAAGAAATAATGACCATCCATTATCTTGGGAAAGGAGAAAGTCTACGTAGGAGCTTCCCCCATTCATTGTTCGCAGCTCCTCAAAACACCACATGAGTTTTTCATATTTTTCCTCCAAGGAGCTCTGACGTCGTTGCTGTATCTCAATATAATGGTCACGTCGCAAAACTCGTCTCTCCAGGCGTTCAATTAAGAAAAACGCATCGTCTAGATAACGGTGCGAAAGTTGCGTCTCCTTTTCTGCGCTTTCCAAGGTTCGTTTGGTTTCTTGTAAAGACTTTTCCGTCTCTCGCCAAAGACGTGACATGTGCGACAACTCACGTTTTGCATGACCAAGCTGCATGGCCTGCACACGCCGTGATCCTTCGGACGAGGTATGAGAGTTGCCAGCGTGTCCAGCCAAGTTGAACTCACTGCTACGCTGCTTCCAAGCGTCCAGTTCTCGTTTCAAGCTCTCTAGTTGTACCCGCATCTCTTGATTCTTCGTCGTGTATTGCTGCAGCTTTTTTTCAGTCTTGCTTAGTTCCGACTTCAGTTGAGCATTTTCCTGCTGTAGCTCATGGTGGGAAATACATTTGGCGTTGTACGCCGCCTCGACTTGTTGGAGCTGCGATCGCAAAAACGACACCTCATAGCTTGTTCCATCAACGAGAAGCTTTGGTCCGGCACCGGTACGTAATGCGGAGGAAGAGGGAGTATTTCCGGAAAATCCATCAGAAAAAGCAACAAATCTGACTCGTGTGCTTTCTTGTTGTGGCGTGCCGTCTTGTAAAGAGGAGTCCTTCCCCAAAGTCACTAAATCCGTGGCACTAGAAGCCAGTGCAGAAACGTCGCCCGCTGTATCAGCTATCTCAAGCGCATTAGGCTCTTCGTGTAGAGTCCGAAGTCGACTAGCCCTATCAAGAAGGGAAAAAAAGCCGGGGGTGCCTTCCACGAAGGTTGTGGCGCCAAATCCAAACATCCCATCGACCCCAGCCACCGTGCCTGCAGAAACCGCGTCCTCGATGGAACGCGGGCAGAACATTAAACTCGCACATTTGTTCATTGCAGAGTGTTGGTATTTATTGTTCCTTGCCTTAGTATTATTGATAGCGGGAAGCGGGTAACTAGCGACAGGAACCATCCCTGGTGTAAGAAGCGCCGCTTCGGAAGCCTTTACACGCATGACATGGCAGATTTCCCGATCCACCAGGGCATGGAGATTACTTCCGTACGTTTCGGGATGACTTGCAAAGTGACGAATGCAGTTATGAAGCATGCGTAGAGGTTCAATGACGTTGCTGTCATTCTGCTGCATAAACGGGGATGATACATGTGTGCCTCCAGTAAAAGAAGACGTCGTGTTAAGCTTTTTGTGCTTCCCAGAATCGGGAGACAATGTGCCGCAACCTCCCTTTTTCTCAAGCTGGCTGGTGATGGCGTTGACATCTTTGTCCTCAACCTCCAATGCAAATGTTTCAAAAAAGCGCTTCTTCTGATGCATTTTTTTTTTTCGTCCTTTTTCTTCCCGTGCTTCTGAAAAGACTCCTTCCTTTTTTCTTCTCCTTTTTTATTTATTTATTAATTTCTTTTTCCCTTTTTCCCCCCGTCCACCCACCCCACGCTGACACAAGAGAAAAAAAAAAAAAAAGTTACATCCTCCGGCCAGTTGGAAAAGAATAATTGGGGGAAAACAACACGAAAAACAACAGGAACCAAAACTCCCCTCCACCCTCTCGCGCAGTTCGATAAAACCTGGAGTTTCCCGTCGTCACAGAATTGCACGGCGGAAAATATAAACGTATGGACGCCCTCTGGTTTGGAATTCAATTAAAAAAAAAAAAAAGAGAAACAAATGCATGAGGAACGTCAAGCAATCAATTAATGATTTCTTGCTTCATTGCATGTTCCCTCCCTCTCACTCCCTGCCATGCTTCAAGACGTAATATGCACACAGTAACAATTATGCATAAATTTGTACACACTTTCAGGGGAAGAAAAGAAAAAAAAAAAAAAAAAAGAAAAAACAATAATTGTTGATCGTGTCCAGAATAGGGGGTGAGTAAATGGAATGGGATGGTAAAGAATCCGTTCGCCTGATTTATCCCGCCATGTATATATTTGTATATATATATATATATATATATATACGCTTTCACAAACACTTGTGAAGAGGGAGAGAAAGATAGCGTGTCTGTGCGTGTGGGAATGTGCGGTAAACCTCATGTTAGGAATTGCCATACTCCGCAGAAGCCACCGGCTCACCCACTGTGCCCAGCAGCTCTGTAAGAACGTCCTTCCCGTTTGAGGCATTTTGGACAATCCACTCATGTTGCAACAACTCAGTCGCAGTGCTGCGATCATCAGGGTTTCGGCAAATGCAATGATTTATAAAATTCTCCGCCTTTTGAGAACATGCGCACTGATCAACTAAAGAGAGTGAGCAACACTCCGTCACTTGGCGTAACAAAGCCATAAATCCTCCTTCTGCGGCTGAAAAGGGAAAATGTCCAAGCAGCAGTTGGGCAGTTAATACTCCCACGCTCCAGATGTCACTTGGTGTACTGTAAGTCCGTCCTTGAATCCGCTCTGGACTCATGTATGTAGCAGTACCAACAAAAGAATTTACGCCAATTGTTTCTGTGCTTGCGGCAATGCCAAAATCCGTGAGTTTCACAACACCGTTTTTAGAAAGCATTACATTGGCTGGCTTGATATCACGATGAATCTGACGGCGTCCTTTTTGATCGGTTTCCGTGGGGTGATTCGCCTTGGTATGAAGGATCTGTAAGGCATGCAGAATTTGTGATGCAATGTAGGCACATGCCGGCTCCGGAATAGTTGGGCAGATAGCGATCAGTTCTTCCAAGTTTCCCCAGTCCATATACTCCATAACAAGTGAGAGTGTACCGTCCTTATAAAAGGCGTTGTAAAGCTCCACGGTGTATGCATTGGTTCCCTGAGAGAAAATGTTACGTAATTCTCCTGCCACGGTGCTTTTATTCATTCGGTCCGTCGTCCTGGGAATAAGGAGCCGCTTCACCGCATAAACAGCGCCGTCCTTTTGATTGATGCACTTACTCACTTTGCCTTGGGTGCCTTTTCCCAAACACTTCACACAATCCAGCGAGTCGAGGGAGAGGTCCTGACAAGGGACGTGCAGATCTCCTTCTCCAGTGAACTCCACTCCACCTGGCCCCACGTGTATGTTACCAAGCCAGATGTCGTCATCGGCAGAGAGAAAACTTGGCTGAACAGTCGGTTTGCGCGGGAGTGGAGAGAGTTTCGGCGGCATTGCAATTCCTTCACTTGATTTTACAGCAAATACGATGACTAAGTGGTATCTCAAGCGTTACCCCACCCTTCCCCCCTTACTCCCTACAAACAGCAACAAGGGTCACAGTTAACGCCAAATTGCTGTCCAAGGAAGTAAAAGAAAAAAAAAAAAAAGAAAGGAAGCTGAAAAGGAAAATACAAATAATCATACATACATACATGTTTATTTATGTTCCTTACTATAGACGTATATACAGGGTAACGGGAGTTACGCCACAGACACAGAGGGGGGAGGAAAAAAAAAAAAAAAAACTCTACCCTACCCTCTGGGTAGGAGAAAGACAGAAGGTGCGGATACAAATTTCCTCATTTATACAAAACCCTTTTGTCCATTTTTTTTTTTTTAATCTCCATTTTATTGTTGCATGTTCTCTCTTTTTATTTTTATCTTCTCTTCTTATCTCTCATTTGATGGGAAGTAAAAAAAAAAAAAAAAAAATTGTGATTGCCTTTCTTTCTTTTTGTTTGTTTGTGCATAAAATCTGCACATGGCGCCTGATCACCTGCTCCCCTCCCCCAAGAGGAGACTGGCGCTGCAGAGAAACGGGTGTGCAAACCGCCATGTGTTGCTTCATTTCCTTCTTTTTTTTTTTTAGAAAAAAAAAAAACTGTGAGTGGGTCAGTGGAGCATGTATGGATTCGCTGGTGCATGTGTACACACACACACACAAATATATATATATATATGTTTGTGCAAGCCCGAAGTGTTTCGTGCGTGGACACGCCTGTACCCTCCCGTTCCTCCCATCCACACGAATATCGCCCCCGTCATGCACGCACACACACAAACGGATGCATGTACACAACACCAGAGGATGAAGAAGGGGAAGAAACAAACAAATAGACACACCCCTCACAAAAACAACGGCACCATCCAAAAAATAATACTAGAGGGACACACAATTAAAAAAAAAAAAAAGAAAGAAAGAAAGAAGGAAAGAAGGAAACAAAGCCCACCAAAAGAGACAGGCACAACAACACCGAAAGGGTCACAAACGAGTCAAGCGCATACACATACACGCCAAAACAAAAAAACAAAAAAAAACGGAGAATAATAAAAATAATAAAAAAGAATGATGTGAATACGACGACAAAAAGAAAAAGAAGAAAAGCACCAACATTAAAGATGGCGCTAGTGATATGCGGCCGTACAGGGAATGTAAATTTAATCCGCGTGCATGAATTCTCCTCCCTCCGTGAAATGGAGGGTTTGAAAGAAACACACACACACACATACCCACAGAAAAAAAAAAAAAAAAAAAAAAGGAAAACGACGGCAAAGCAAACACAACAAACCTCACATAAAAAAAAAAAAAAAAAAGAACCAAAAAATCACGCAACCAAAAAATTTGCTCAGAGAGTTTTTTTCTTCCGCTACTCCCATTTCTCACAATATTAAAAAGGCACCCCGCAGACTCAAACACAGACACATGTATATATGTATGTATGTATATAAACATGAGTCAGGAATACACCTGACTCTTCTTACCTTATCCACTACTCTCTAAAACATCCGCTAATTCCCCTTCATCATTCCTTCTTTTTTTTCTGTGGCCATCGGCGGTGTTCCTCTCCCCTCATAAGGCTCATACTTGCAATTATTTCCTCTTTCCGCATTACCAAAAGGAAGCACTAAAAATGGCAATCATCCATCACAACAGCAGCAACAACAAGACAATGAGAATAAGTGTACTAAATCGTACGGACTCTAAACCATCCGCCCCCACTTTTTTTTTTTTTTTTTAGTTTCGTCCTCTTCCGTTTTTATTTTCGCTTTTTTTCCCTCCAATTTCCGTTTTTTTTTTTCTTTTCTTTCCTTCTTCTTTTTCTTTTGTTGTTTTATTTTCATTTCTTCCCTCTTCTTCTTACTTCGTTGTTCTTTATATGTGAGTGAGTGCAACGCATTGTTTTAAAGGTGATTTGCCCCTTTTTTTTCTTTTTTTTTCTCTTTATTTTTGATTATTATTATTTTTGTTGTTGTGCTTTCGTTTTTCGGGGGGAGGGGAGTTGCTGCTGTCTTGCCTCGCCTCGCTTCGCGTCACGGTTTTGTTGGTTGCTTCGTTGGGGTGCCGTCGGATGGCAGTGCGTTCTGTTGCCTTTCGAGAATGCCCTTAAATTCTATGAGAGCCTGAAGTTGCAGCGGCTTGTGGCCCACCCGCATCAGCGTGCGAAGAACATCCAAAAGCTCCCGTGCTGTTGGCGACACCGTCGCGCACACGGTGGAAGAAAGAAATGCATCCAGTGCGCTGGGATGGCTGTCGGAATTGTAAGAGTCTTCCAGCGCCTTAAACAACCATGAAAGCCCAGTCGGACTAAAACACCCCATGTTTGTCAGAGCAAGAAGACTGAAATAAACAGTTTCATACTCGCTCCCACCTGATGTTGAAGCGGCCTTCGTTGCCAAAGCATGAAACTCCTTGGAACGTGAGCTAACCCCACCTTTTTGTTGCGTTACATGCTGTGATTCTTTCTCCTCCGCTACGGTGTTGGTAGAGCCCAACAATGCGGCCAACACTGTGGGGAACTTTACATGCAGGTGATCGTCAAGCGTCGTGGACTCTGAAAGAAAAAAAGGAACGGCTCTGTTGGGGCGTTTTGTGCGGTCCGTCTGTCCCAAGTGTCGTAGAGCATATTTTACCACCTCGCTCAATGTGATAC